CTCATGACAAAAAAACGTCTCAGTACCCGTTTACGTTTTTTCAAACTATGGATATCCCCAATTCACGTCATATAATTGCGTCATGAATGTTGCGCAAACTTTTTATTTCTTTTCACTAATGTAACAAATTTATTTGGGCAACCTGAGTAAATTAACTTACAGGTTGAAGAAGTTAACATGCAGCTTTCTCTTTCTCCATATGGTAGCAAATTTTCCTCTCCTTCCACAAATCTTTCTCAATATGTGTTTCATAAAAGCTCACATCCCCACTTGTTTTCAAGACTACCGCAGACGTGCTCCTTGTGCCATAACGTCCCTACACATTTGGAATAAAAACATAGTTATGTTTCTACGAGAAGGAGAATAACGTATGCAGTAAAGCCCCCAACAAGATATAGATGCAATGATAAATTCAGATTACCAAAGATGTATCTGCCTCAACAAATATGGAACTCAACTGGCATTCAAACTCAGGAGGATAAATGTGAGGCAGCTTGCTTTCGTCATCCTTGGTAGTGTCCCTCATTAGATTTGCAATCATCTCTTCAATAGAAATTTCAGCTTCACCAAATTTATCCAACATATCCTTGAAACTATGCCTCAACCTTTGAGCCTGCTAGACAAGAATTCAGTGCAATCAGAAAGATGTCACTGCTGCTGATTGGAGATATGCCTTATCTGCATGATGGAAGAGCTGTTGATATAATTCAACCCATTAACATTACTGTACTATATCTGTAAATGTGCACTACAACCCAGATAACCCCACCCCAAACCCGATCCCCTGAACCAAAATAAATCCAAAGCACAATTACGAGAAGAGAAGGGAAATTGTTTGCAGAGGAAACTTGAAATATTGAAAAATGTGTAATGCAGAAAATTCAAGTCCTCCATTCTGCTGTAATTGGCTGACACTGCAAACTTTTGAAAGGTAACAGAAACCAAACAGCAGAAGAATATGCACGCCCCTCACTTTGAGCCAGTGCATTTACCTGAGGTACAATTTCCACCCTTGCATGGTAGATGGCCTCTCAAACTCGGTCCTTATGGATTAGACTTGTTTAATAGATTATTTGTCTTCCCTATGACAGCATATGATTATTTATATCCTTGATTAATCCGATATTTATTTATATCACAATTCCATAAAGAGAGAGGCTACAAAATTGCAACTAGATAAATGGCAAACTACTTTCAAATCTTCCATAATGAATTGGTCAGCAACCAAAACCCATCTTTAGTCTAAACTAATTTCATCCATGAATGGTAAACGAGGAAGATGTGTTACATTTTCTAAAGGGCAGCATCCAGTGGGCTCTTCAACACCATTTCTCACTCTTATAAGGAACTGTAGCCATATCATCCAATAGAAATTGAAAATTCAGAGAAATAAGGAGTACAAAAGGAAAAACAGAGGCTGCATTTGGCAGAACACAAATGGGGCCTCATAATAGAAGTGTGCATAAATCATTTGAACCATTTCTAATACAATTCTATGGCCAAATTCCATGCTGCCAAAAGTAGGGTGAGAACCTCCACCGTTCATCACATAGGAAATATACATTACATATAAATAATTTAAAAATGAAGCTCCTCATCCAGCATTCACAGTATCAAATATAAATGAAGTACTATCAATGTTAACACGATGGACATCCTCACCTTGGGCCATGGAGTGTCTAGCATTGCATTTGATAAAACATGAATACCAGGAGAAACTTCTATTACTGATAGGCCATTGTCCTTTGTTCTGTTGGTTATATACAACATGGTCATAGAGCAAAGATCAGCTAATATCAAGTTGAACCCATGGTACTGGTCTGCTTCTCCCTTGAGTTCCTCCGCAAATTCTTTAGGACTATTTTTGCTCTATAATATGATCAACACAACATTTATTCATGATCTAAGAATAAAATCAAAATTAAACTGTCATATTGCAATCAAAGATTTGACCAAAAGAAAAGAAAACCAGCAAAACAGGAGCTGGGACAATATAAAATCATGAATGCAAGTTACTCACGTTCCATGTTAAAGCATTCGTGACCAAAATTTGCAACTAAAAATCATGCCACAGGAAGGGGGAAAGTAAAAATGACCTTTAAGAACCGAACAGAGAGGTCTCCTCTGCTCTTGCCCTGGAAATTTGGTTTGATTTCCCTCACATTCGTAACGAATGCAAGCCTTCCGTTCCTCGTGCAAGCCAGCCAGGTCCCACCGGCTTCCCCATCTCTTCCCCCAAGTATTTCACCATCTTCCCACCATCCCAGTGGCGACGTCGGCCTATGAATGATATATACGCACGGGAAAGAATAAGTATTTAAACATCGATAGCTCAAATTACTTCGAATTTTTCAATTTCTAGCCATATTTAGGGCTAATCTGAATTAAGTTTCTATCGATTTCATGAAATGAGAACTAAAATCATATGTACGTACCGGGAGTGATATTCGTCTCTGTTGAGCAATAGAAGGAACGGATAGAGTGGGTGAGAATCCCAAATGAACACCGCTATACACATGTTTCTTGGTTCATGAAATCTCCAGGTAGTGATTCATCAAAATCATCAAAATCACTGTGAGCGTGAGAGTAACGTGAATCGCCGCGTTTTTTCGTCCTTTTCCTGCCGAATCTTGGTCGCTTACAGCAACCGAATCTTGTCTATGATCTAACCACAGCGTTCATTTTATCTTATGTTCATAGAGAAATTATGGTCGGGTCCCCAAACCCTTTACGTTGCATGATAATGGGACCTAACTTTTGAGGGAAAAATTTCGAGTCCTCAACCTATTTAAATATGAGAATTATCAATCGAGATTTCTACATGATAAGTGTAGTTTTTACACTTATTCGAGATCCTAAATCATGATATTTTATTGTCTTTTGGATAGAATTTTACCTAATTTATGTTATATTATATTTTGTAGGTAAAATTTTATATTTAATGAATAATTGGAAAAAATAATGTAAAAGTGACCAAAAATGACAAAATTCAAAGATGAAACTTTGGAGATAAATAATACATTAAATGGGTTGGAGTTAAATGTGTATATTGAAAATTTTAAGTGAACCTCAATGTGCCTGAAATATATCACTTCTATATAATAAGTGTGTATGAAACGGTAGAGTAACAGAAATTCTTGTTTTCCATCTTTTTCCATCTACTGCCGTTAAATCTGCCGTGAAATTAAGGATGTTAGTGGTAGCAATTAAGGCTCGCCCATTTATCTTCTGCCCTCAAGAGTCGAAGATGGAAGACCGCAAGAGCTGCAAGGCGATTCGGCGACGGGCGAACTACGAAGTCGAAGGCCGAAGGCGAAGGGTAAGGGTTCAATATCCAAGAGAATATTGATGCTGGAGAACCCACAAATGGGCTCTGCTTTTGTGTTGAACCAGATGGGGAATGAGGGTAAGAAACTCTGCAAATGGGAGCTTTGTAAAGTTGTTAAGGATCTCAGGAAGTTCAAACATTTCATACATCCGAACCACCATTCTAATCTATATTTCATCAGTTCGTACAAGAGGAGAGCAAAATCTGCACTACACACTTAATTCCCCACATTCAAAAACGGGTGTAACCGTGTAAGTGTTCTAAATATTATCTACATTCTCAAGATTGTGATTTTTGGGCGATGTTTTGTGTTGGGAGAGCGCCTCCATCCCGTTATCGCAGCCGTACATTTCTTCCTTGCCTAATTTTAACTGTCCGATAAAGCTAAAATATATTAATCATAGCCGGAAAACTGTACATCTTTTGTCTCTCTCTAGAACATTTTCTCTCTCTATAGTTGTATGAATTCCGTAATTTTTCTATTTTTCGTCCAATTTCCCGGTTGATTTTCAGCAACGATTTCCTTGTGAATGCTTGATGTAGAAGCTGTTCTGGATGCTCAATTTCTGCCGATTAACGGGGTATGTGCGTGTATGTAAGCATGATGTGA